TTTCTGTGTCTTACCCTCTTGCTTGAGGGTGTCAATGATGGCCTTCTGGACAGCAGTCAGGTCGGCAGTCTTACCCATGATTGCGGTTTTGAGTAATGAACCAGGCTGGGAGTTTTTAAAAGCCTCAGGAATCTTTTGCAGGTGTTTAGAGTTAATTCGTTGATTCAGATGATTAGGTTAATGGCTCGTTTAGAGAACCTTTTCATGATATGCTAATTTTTTGAGATAGGAATTTTGGGTTTTCATGAGCTGTATGCCAAAATCATCAATATTAAAACAATGAAAGGCTTGAACTACTTCAGTTGTGTGTAATGAATCTAAAATATATGAAAGTCTAATGTTTATCAGTACATTACAGAAAATAATGAACTTTATCACAATATGCTGATTTTTTGAGAAGGACCTGTATGTGTACAGCTGAACATTGACGAAAAATGTCTGATTTAAGTATAAGATGGGGAAAATCCCTAAATTACACAATACTTAAAATAACAAAACTCTAAAAATTTAATTGACTATTATTTTTTATTTTTTTATTTTCAATGTTCTTGAAAGTTAAAAAAATAAAGTGAGGGAAGGAAATAAGGCAAGCTGACTGCAGATTAGTGAACTTCAGTTTGGAAGCCGTTCATGTGTGAATTTTATCATGGTCCTGCCTGCAGTGGAGTCACAGTGGTTGCAATGCCCTAGATTAAAGACGCAACTCAAAAATAATACTGTCATTTCCTATATTTCTAAACCATCATGATCTGAGGCTGCAGATTGTGTGAGACCAATCAGTGAAGACCAGAATGAAGACCACACAGGAGAAATTGGTAAAAGAAAACAAGACGTTTATTTTGTATTTTGGCTGACACAAACCTGACCTGGGAAAATACTTTATAGAAGTAAAGTTTATATTACAAAAAAACCATCCCCCAAATAAATAAACTCAGAGACATTAAAAGAACTAAACTCAAGACTAAACCATATTGCAAAGGAAAGAATCAAGAATCTAAAAATAAACTCATTACAGTCAGAGCGTATTAAAAATGTGTATTACAGGAATCATAATCAGAGATCCCATCTTCAAAGCACAAATATAGAGGCAGAGCTTATGAGATGAGATGAGATGAGCTTGAGTTTCCTGTAGTGAGACAAGTCACAGTCACAAACTAGTCACGCCTCACTCACAAAGAAAAACCACACAAAGAGGAACCTTTGCCACTCTGCTTCAGTTCTTTAAAAAGGACATTCAGACATTTCCTTTCTCATCATGAACACATCAAACAGCTCCACAGAAGATGACCGGGTTTATGCTGGGGTCTTTGGCTGCATTATGGTGATAGGTCTGCCACTGAATGCAGTCTCACTGTGGATTCTTCTTCGCCGCCACAGCCTCAAATCACCCAACGCTGTCTTCATGGTGAACCTGGCACTCTCAGACCTGCTAGCCATCTTCTCTTTGCCCATGAGGATCTACTATCATGCAACAGGCACCTCGCTGGGAATTTTCACATGCCACTTCAGCGTAATAATCTTTCGCAACAACCTCCGCTCCAGCGCCTCCTTCATCACCTTCATAAGCGTGGACCGACTGCTGGCTGTGGTTTATCCTCTGAGGTCTCGCCATCTTCGGACCTCGTGCAATGCCTGGAAAGGAGCAGCGCTCGTCTGGGGGGTTTTGCTGGTGGTAAATATCCCAGAGGGCATAGGATTTGTAAAACACATACAGAACCACACAGATCACATTTGTTTTGAACTTCATGAATATAAAAGTGTAACACGATCAGCAATTATTTACCTTCAGATTGTGTTACTGGTCACAATGCTAGCAGTCAACATTGTGTGCACCGTTATGGTTTCCTGGACTCTACACAAACATCTCAGTGACTCTGCAAAGGTCAGAAACAAGGTGAACGTAATGCTGATTTTTGCCATCAACTTGCTTATATTCTGCACATGTTTTCTGCCCATGCCACTACACATACTTACAAAAAGCAAAACCAGCATAGCTCCACTGGCATGTCTGATTGTTTTGAGCTGCTGTCTGGATCCACTGATGTATTATTTTTCTTTTGACTCCTTCTGGAAGAAAAAAGAGGACACGGGAAGAGAACTATAGATTAGTGACCTGCTAGAGTTGCTATCAGATGTCCCACGATACATGCCTGTTTTTTGTTTTTTTTGTTTTTGTTTTTTACAAAGTAGCTCGTTTGTGCACAAGATTCTTAAGTAGTTCAACCACATGCACAGTTTTCAGCAGTTAACCATCAATGTTCATTTCTTCAGTAACATTTGTGTCAAGCCCAGAAAGTGAAGGAGTGAAAGAGGCTTGGCTTAGTTGTTTCATGTTCTATTTTTACTGCAACATGAAAACCTCAACCACAGACTTACTAGAAACTGTGAAAAAAGGAAGCTGCAACACTTTTTTCTGTTTGCAAAACTGCGTCCTTACTTGTCTTCAGTTTACATGAAGTCAATATCCTGATCAGTATCATGTAATAAGTTTGTCAGATTTAACACTCTGACATGAGAAGATGTCCCCTCCCCCCAGAAAAAACAGAGTCTTCCGGAAGTCACGTGTGTGGAACTACATACTGTCAGGGACATGAAACAAACAACCTTTTCTCATATCGTTGTTGCTTTGGCCTAATATTTAATCAAGACGTATAAGAGTAATATCAATCTCCTCATTTCTCTTTTGGCAAATAAAACAGCATATACATAAGAATAACTCTGACAGATGGGTGTGTGTACGCATGTAAAGTACCACATGAATGAATAATGTTGAGGATAGATTAAGAATAATTAAACATTCAGCAGAAAAGCTGGTTTAAGATTGACTAATCACAATATTTTGTAAATATTTTTGAAAACATTACATACAGCACTGTTTAAGCCCATCTCTTCTGTATATTTTAAGTCCTTTCATAAGACTCAGGCCTTTGGTTTTTTTTTTGCGAGTGCCTCAGTAGTGGAGCCAACGGCTCAAGGCCTAATTAAGTCCCACCAGATGGAAGGGTGTTGGTGTAAGCCTACAACAGACTGTAAGACGACTGATTATCTCATCTGCAGATTTAAAATTATCCAAAGGTTATCACTGAAAATGCTATTAGACACTGAAGATTGGTTGAATTTCCCAGACTGGCCATTACATTTTACTGTTGTTAATGTTTACTATTGTACACGAAAGTTGATTGTGTCATATTCAATATAGTCATCATTTGCCAAGACCTAGTGATCATAATTGACTACAACTGGTAGTTTCTACTTGCCAGGATATAAGCTGAAATTTACACCATCCAAAGAAACAATGATTGAGTTATTTGGCCACAATGGCAAGATGTATGCTTGTTTAGGTATGTTTAAACCTGAGGCTTTCAAACCTAAGAACACTGTATCAGACATCAAGCATGGTGGTGGCAGCACTTTTGTTGTGCATGGAGTAATGAAGGACAAATGTCATGATCCTATGTCTTTGACACAGTTTGTGAGTTTATGATGGTTTTGTGAATCTTTCTTTTGGATTGAACAGATTTTCATCTTCTTGTCCTGTATTAGTTAGTCTGTAGTTTTGTATTTCCTAGTGCATCTGTGTTTAATATTTCTATTTTTTAGTTTTTGCCTGCTCTCATGTCTGTTCTGTCTTCAGCATCTCCTGCTGCTTTCTGTTCTGTGTTTTTTCTCTCCAGTCTGTCGTGTGTTTCCATGTTTATCCCCGTCCTGATGTCAAGCTTTTGTGTCCTTGTCTCAGTCTCTCGTCTCTTGTTTTTTGTTGTGTGTTTTCAGGTCTCCCGGTTCTGAGTTTCCAAGTTTAGCTTTTTACCTGATTTCTTGTATTTTTTTATACCACTTTTGAAACTTTTAAGTCACAGCATTAAAGTTGCTTTTTTTTCAAGTCATATCCTCGACTCAGAGTCCTGCATTTGGGTCCTAGTCTGCCTGCCACACAGCCGTGAATGACATTCAAATTCTTCAGCTTCACCTCAAATCAACACCTAGCTGTTTGAAACTTGGACACAGTTGGGTGTTCCAGTTGGACAATGATCTCAAAGACACATTAAAACTGGTTAATTGATAAAGCAGTCTATCATTAAGGTTCTGGAATTACCAGCACTATAGAAAATTTGTGGACTATGGTTAAAATGAACTCCATCAATCTGCCAGAATTACAATAGAAGCTTTTTCATGGCTACCAAAAGCATCTTGCCAAAGTGCAACTTGCTAAGGACATTAATAGAGCCTGTATGAGCGTTTACGTATAGCTTTGACCCTGTGTGGATTGGAGAAAATCCCCCCAAAAAGTCAAATGTCTGCAGTCAGTACTTGAGGCTTTTTTAAAGTCATTAAAGACAGAATTCATTAAAGGTTATCTGATGACATGATGGCATCAGATAACAATGTACAAGCTCTACTTCCAATATAAACAGAAAAGATAATCCTGAGACCAAAAGCAGTGGTTGAATCACAGTGGCTACGTCCATGTTTTATCCCATCTGTGTAATACAGTCATCATTTCTTCTAATATTACCCTACATTAACCTACTACAAGTTTCACACAGCATGTAGTTCAAATCACTGACAAAGACTGGAAGATGTAAAAAGCAACTATAAGGCGCATATGTCAAATACAAATAGCAGTTAAGAGCGATTTCATTATGCAAAACAAATAACCAACACATCAAAGTCACCTCTTTTACTTTAAGAGATTTCTTTAGAAAATCTAGGGAGATTTTATGTTTTTGATTAATGGTGACTGGAAATGTAGTTGCTGGCAGAGCTGCAGGTTCACACGAGGATTTTACTATAGAAATGTTTAAATCGGTACAGAACACAAAATAGAAACCATAAAATGAAAAATACTGGCAGCAGCCAGCGTCAACCCTCAGCCTCCTACTGGATGCTCCCATGGTGTTGAATTCAAAATCCTTTGTCAGCTTTTTCTCCAGTTATCGCATTCACAGAATTTTCAAAAAAACTTGACCTCTGACCTCCAACCTCGAAGTCTAGGTCACTGAGATTAAAACTTGTCGAAGATACACCTACGCTGTCACTTTGAAACTCCTGCATCGCTTCTTTCTTGAGTCATTGTATTCACAAATTTGGGTGTCCACATTGCTTGCCCACCCACTCGTATGGTGACAACAAAACCCCCTTAGCCTTTTTACATTCATAAGATACTGACTGAAGCCTAGTAACGTTTGAAATAAAGTAACATATGCCTCAACTCAGTCATTTTTTTTACTACTTTATTCACAGACAGATTTCATTGGCAGACAAAATATACAGATCACAGTTGGTTTTGTTCATCTAACATATAATACGCTCCCTTTCACTTGTTTTGACTTTAGTCCAGTCTCTGACTCTGGACTAAGGCTTTAAACGTGGTTTTACAAAACATTCTAAGAGTGCTGTTTCTCTTATACATAAACACATGCAAGGGAAAACAAAGGTTAGTCTAAAACGATTCAGAAAAGTAGTGGGGACGGGGGGGGGAAGAAAAAGTGTGACAAATTAGAGGTCAAAAAGAAATATGGGTCTGTGTTTCAGGGGCAGAATATTATTCCCAAAGAAGAAAAATAGTAAGTGTAATGCCCAATGCAGCCTGGTCTAAAGTCTACTGTGCGATAGTGCTTTTTAACAGGATGAAGGCAGAAGCGAGGAAGCAACAGGTAAGCAAGAGGCTAAAGATGCAAGCAAGCTACTAGTCATCAACAGTTACATTACACTGAACATGAGAAAATATAAATGAATCCATGTTTGCTCAGGAAGGCAATACCTCATGCTTTGTGTAGATAACTAAGGAAAACAACGTAACCTCAAGGGGAGCATAACAAAACAACATGGGGAGAAAGTCGTCTCCCCCGGCAACGGTAACCATCATACAAATCCCCAAAGAGGAGATGTCTTGAAATCATTATTTTTGGCTTAAGGCCTTTGCTACATGGAAAATCCTGTGACATAACCAGCAGCTTAGTATTGCATCACACTTTAGGGTAAATATTACCTAATTCGAAACAGAATAAAGGGGAGGTACTGAAATAAAATTAAAAACAAAACAAAAACAAGTAAAGTGCAACTCAGACATGATCAGATCCACAGGAGGGTGCTACAGTGGCTGGAGACATGACTGGTGATGTGCCTTTGTGTGGGCGGGAATCTCACAGATGACAGTCGCGTTTACGCTTCATCGCAGATAACCGTCTCCACCACAAATGTATTCTCAAAGTGGCGGATGTGGTGGCAGTCCTTCGTGTCACGCTTGTTGATGCCTATGAGGGAAAATGGGGCGAGACACAGAGAGGCGATCAGCCGAGTCGCTGAACTTCAGATACCATCACAGCTTAAACGATAAAACCTCTTAATCCCCCAAAAGAAAACAAAAACACAGGCATGTATCAGCTCTTTTTAATGGCCCCATTAACCCCAACGTACGCCTGCGGGTGACGCGGCGGTTCAGGCGGTACGTGTCCTTCCCGTTGCACAGGCGATAGATGAAAGGTCCCAGCTGACGCATGTTGTGCACTTTGCCGGTCACCACCATCTCTTCATGGATGATGTAGGTCTGAGGCAAGTATGTGCCCTTCTGCAAGAGACACAGTAACAAGCTCGGTGGGAACACAAAGGGGCTGATGATGCTGCAATACTAATTCTTGAGGGGACTGACATCTGTGGAAATTTTCCCGAGTGACTTTTAATGCTGGCAAATTGTAGCAGAGGAATGTTTCCAGTTAAACAACACCAAAATGGTGTTAATCCACCAAAATTAATTTTAACTTTGCCAAAAGTATCAACTCCTTCGAACATCAGCAAAGTAGGTTACATTTTTTTTTCTTTAAATTAAAAAGCTTGGGAAGCTGTGACAGACTTACTAAGCCATGCTAGTTGTTAGTGTGTCCACATAATAAGCAGTGTATCAATACATCACAGAGTACACCAACGATATTACAAATAAAGGAAGAAAAAAAGTGGGGTGGTTTTCTTCTTATTCATTTCTTACACTGCTAAATATGTTAGCTTCCAGCATTTGGTAACAGCTGAAGATGTTGCCTAAGATTGGGGCTGTGTTACCTTGACATTGATAAGCAGCTCCCAGAGGTTGCGCGGAGGCATCACGATGGTGGTGTTGAGCTCGATAACGTAGCACTTGTCCAGAGCAATGTCATGGTATGCAGTCAGTCCCTGGAAACAACAACAAAGCAATCTAATTATGACCAGTTCTCCATTACTGTAGAGTCTTTACCTTACAATGTAAAGCACCTTTAGCTGACTAGAATTTCATTTGGTGCTTTACCAATAAAATTAAACTCATTTAAAAACAAAAGCAGGTCAGTATTTCACTGACTGAACTTTGATATTTAAAGTAAGTCAGTAATGTTAGCCTTTCTGTGTATTTTGCAACATTTGTGGTTGAAAGATAAAGCCAATGTGGAATGGGTGAAGACCGCAGTTCCTCAAAAGGCCACTTGTTTACAAAACACAGTTTTGTGTTTTGTAAAAAAAATAAAAAAAAATTGTAAAAAGCCTTAAATATGAATGATTATCAGGCTCACTGTATAAGTGCATGGGGCTAAATTCCATCATTTATTTACTTATTTTCTCAGCACCAAGTAGCAGGTGTCTGTGTCTGCAGTGCAATAAACCCATGTAGTCTATGGATGCACTTTGCTAACAAAGCTAGTTAGCATTAGACGACAGCTTTGCACTTT